TTGTGCCATAGAGGGTCTCTCTAACAGATCTGGTTAATGAAGTCTTTTCAGCTTGCTTTTTTTTCCCAGTATAACATTCAAGAGAAAGAGCATAGTACATAGACTGCCACTGCAAACTGAATTCATCTTTATTAAGTAGATTTCTGACAGGGATGTCCAGATCTCAACTAAAGAATATGTTGATTCAAAAAATGCAAGTGAGTGAATTTCTTAGATTCACACTCCAGTCCATAAATATTCTTATCCCATTTCTCAGTTAATGTAGTCAAAATGTGTACGTCAAAGCTATGAGAAAAATCTTGCCCTGAAAGTTTCATTGAAATCAGAGAGCCCAGAAGAAAGAAATAATTTACTGTGAGTGTTTTGTCCTTTAAATATGTGAATGTCTTTCTAAATCCAGACTTTCTCTGATTAGTCTTTCAACAAGAACTTCATATACAGCAGAATTTCAGAGAGTCACAGTCAAGTGCCTCTTTCCTTTTTCTAGTCTGAGTAAAAAAAAAATTCTTTTGCATGTTTTTCTCTTTACCTAGCAGAACTGTCCTGTTGCCTGCTTAACAGTAGAGTGCACAATATTGCTTCAGCATAAAGTATATGCTTTAGAAGGGTTTGTTATGAAGGCATACCCAAATAGTTTGAATGCTACAGTCTGATCTTAGCAGTTCCTTCTGCTCACAAGCTTAAAGTTGGGAAGAGCATGCCTTATTTGGTAGACTGTATGTTTAATAAGTGAGTGAGTTTGATCTCTTGATTTGAAGAGTAATGTTCAGGCTTATGAACATCATGTGACTCATGAGCTGTTTCAGGTTTTTGTTTTTTTTTTCTCTGAGTTTGACTACCAGCAAGCACATTTTTGAAGTCTCCTTGCACTGTCAGACCTTTCCTAGAAAATGCTGTGCACACTGGAGCACTCATTGAATGCTCAGATATATACTTCTCCATCTGAAGTGGTACTGTGATGTTGGCCAAGGTTGGCTACAGCATTTTCCTCTGTGTACTCTCTTTGATTCATTTGAAGACATATAAAAACAATTCATACTAACAGTGAACTATGAGATATTGTGTTAATGTGCACCCCAGAATGTGGTTGCTTAGCACAAGCAGCTTTGGATAACTAGAGCATTCCTTCATGCATCTACATCTGTTGTGATATTGTGTTATATATAGATGCCAAAAAACAGGCATCAAATCCTTATGCTATTGTCATGTATATGGTAACATACATTTCTTACCCGTACAACACACTTTACAAGCAAGATAATATCATTATATCCAAAATACAGTCCATGAATGTCATTGTGCTGCTAGGAATTTATATTTGTAGTCTTTGATTAAAAAGCTGCAAACTTTGTCTCTTAAAATATTGAAAATATTAATGCATTTTCTGGGAAAGAAAGTGAAATTGTTTACATCAGGAGACAGTACAGTTGTATCTGTTCTGGTACTCTGTAATGAGAAAGCAGGTGGCACATTTTTTGGTAGCTTAGTGGAAAGGCAAATACTAAAGGAAAAAAATACATTTCTTAAAGAAACAGTGAATAACAGAGAAAGCGTTACATAGGGATTAAATCATGTCCAGAGTGTAGAAATATTCTTTTCTGTAAAGGTTTAAAATGTTGAGAACTTTTATTATGTTTCTACCTTTCTTGCTTTACCATCAAAGTCAGATTCCAAGAACAAAAATTCTAGCAAAATTTCAAATTTACTCTGTTGATAAAGTGCACCAAATGATGAACGTTTGGGGTGGGATGGGGGAGTGTGGGTAGAGCAAATGATTCAACTGATTAGGTATTTGTTGCACATCTACCTTAATCTTAAGAGTTCATGAGTGATACAAAGGTGATTAAATACTGCAATTTTAAGATATATGTGAGAATTGCTTGATTTTTCTGAAAGATTGATATGGAAAATCCAATGGCTAGAAGTTTTGTGACATTATTTTGAAAAAAGGGAGTTTGGAAAGAGAGGATATTTAATTAAAACAGAAATTAACTGTGTAGGGATATTTAGTTATTCAGTTCCCTCTCAAGATTGGGAAGTATTTGATTGTAGGAAATGCACAACTTTTTTTTTAGTTGAAATTTACTAGGATGCATGGCTGTCTTTTGCTTTTGTTATGAAACATATTATGATCAGAAGTTAATCTTTAAAAACATCAAATACATTTCAATTCAGTATTCCCATGTTCCATTCCCTTTCATCTTGAGTCTGAGCTTTGCATGGTTTTGATAAAAGATGTCTTTATTAAAACTGGCCTTAGGTTCAAATATTTTATGGACTGAATTTCAAGAATGTAGAATAACATTAGGATAAGAGAATTTCTCTGACTACTGATTTTCATTGGAAACGTGTCACACCTGTCCAGGATTATGCTTAATTCAGTGCTGATGACAAGTTTATATCTTGACATAGTTTCTGCTCATCTCTTTCATTGTTGTCTTTTTCTTTTTTAATTATTAAGGAATTCAGCTTTACATTTTCTACAACTACTGAAGACTAAGAGCCAAGAAAACTCTTAAAAATAAACATTAGAATTTGTTTTACTGAATGAAATATGAGTGATGCTTCAGACATACTGCTCTCCAATTTGTGTGGATTCTTATATGGGTCTGCATAGGTGTATGGTATTTCTTCATGTTGTAAGCTATCATTACCTAACAATACATAAGCTAACCTTGGATGATCCAACTTGGGTATTAGAGGCAATCTTAGTTGCTTAGTAGTGCTTTCTTCCCACATTTTATTGATTTTTTTTTTTCTTTTGTTACATGAAAGGATTCATAATGCAACCAGTGATGTAATTTATTGCATGCAAATTGATGTGACTTGGATTAGTATTATTTTTTGAAAGGCAGTTGTTCCCCAACCACCACTTTTCCTTCCCTTCTCTCCTTTTTCTTTTAAGCCATCCCTATCAGTATTGTAATAACAGGTGAAACAAGACCCAGTCTTTCAAGTCTCTGATAAGTTGAGCTACTCAAGGAGCTTAAAGAAAAGCCCAGTACCAATTAATTCCAATTGTCTTAGCATTTAATGCAGTGCCTGTGTGCACGGGGTGATGCACAGCTGCATTCCAGTCTTAGAGGCAACTACACTGTGGCAAGAAGAAAATAGGATAAGGGAAATTGAATGCATTATTTCTTGTGCCTGTTTACAGTTTTGACACACATAGCACGTTGCCATTCCTGACACTCAACACCTTTAAAATGTGAATAATCCAGTATAGCCCATTTGTCTGCCATTGTTTGAAACATCTCCTTTACAAGACGGTCATTTTAAGACTGTCAGGTGTGCTATCAGCTCAGCTGGCATTACTCATGTCACTGAGTGCTGTTTCCTCTTCTCTGCTGCACTCCAAACTATTTGGAGCCTCATGGCTGGCTAGTCAATGTTTATGAGGTTGGGAAAGCAAATTTGTAAGTAACTTAGTCTGCAGATATTGAAAAGTCTGCAGTGGAAATCATTTTAGGAAAAGGTAGCAATTGTAAGAAATTGTTTTGGCTGCTTAAGCAGCCCTATATATCACGTAAAGAGACTCTCTTAAAATGACTCTACTCCGCCCTTTTCCTCCCCCCCTTTTTTTTTTTTAAATGCATACACAGTTGTTTATGAACCTTGTTCCTTCTGCTGATAAAACCTTTTTTTCAGAGCTGAAGGAGCATTAATGGTATTCAAGGATTCAGTTCTTTATTTTCAAAAAGCAATAATTTCTGCCTTCTTCACCACGCAATTCCTATTACATTAGATACAAGGGCTGGAACAGAGCTGGTTTATAGGTGCATTTCCCCTCAAAGCAAGCTGTCAGTTTGCAAATTCTTAGGAAGGCATCTAAGCTTCTAGTGAGCCACAGCTGTATTAAGACATTAATAATTGCAAAAATACCACCTGAGCTAGAGGAGAAGCTAATAACATCTGCCAGGATGGTTACCATCCCTGTATGACTTCATTTCAATTGGGTAAAAATTGGAGGGTGGAAAGGGGAAAACTTTGGAAGTGAATGATGCATACAGCTAGATCTGGGTTCCAGAGGAAAACATGTCCCATTCATGGCAGATCCTTCCCCATGGAAACAATACACAAAGATGGATCTGGGTCTTTGCCCTGAGATTGTAAGGAACCTAAATACACATAAACCACTTTGCACGCTATCTTCAATTAATGTCCATGGTTAATTTGCATATCTCCATCTCTATAAATGTTTCTCTACTTTACATTTTGCAAACTTTTACTTGTTTAACTCATGTTTTCATCTTATCTGAGTTAAAAGTGATTTGAAGGTAATGGACAACCACAAATGCAAGCAACAATTATTCTTTCTGTATTAACATTATTCCTGTTCTAGAGATTTCCTTATTGCATTCAGAATAACTGATAAAACAGGTATGATCATCCAGATCTGCCTAGGAGATTATAGTATGGAGGTCCTAAAGATTAAGAATGACAACTATCCTCTTCTGTTTGCATTGGTGATAAACTAGCAAGGCAATCACTTTCTAAAGAAAAAGCTAAGGGTACTGATGAGGGAAGACAAGTCTGATTTTATTTATGTACATTGAGGAAAAAATCCTACCACAGTTTAGCTCTGGAAAAGGTTGCTTAGAAATGATGTGGGATTTCCAGTTCTGGGGAGTTTCCAAACCGCTCTGTAGAAGGCCCTGAACAACCTGCTCTACCTTGGAAATTAACCCTGGTTTGGGCTTGGAGTTACTGTAGGTGATGTGGTCCTAGGCAGTCTGAGTGAGTCTGGGGGTTGCATTGACCTGCTCTATTCAGCAAATTTTCCCTGCCAGATATTCAGCAGTAGTCATCCTGGTGTGCAAGATTTCTTTACAAGCAAGAGTCTAGGGGGTCTCTAATTTATCTTACTGTATGGGAACTGTTAGGTCACGGCCTGAACCAGTGATTGAGCACCTGGTGAAGGGGTGTAGCCAGCCCTGGGAGCACAGGTGGAAGCAATTCACCTGTGCCCCTTAACTTCATTTAAGGGCTGACAGCTTAGAGATAGTCTTTTCTGGAAAGTTTGGCAAGCTCCAATCCTCAGAAAGAGGTAAGCAATTTCTTCTTTATTACTGGATTGTGAGTGCTACCTTTCTTGGTTTTAAAGCTGCTGTATTTGTTGCTTATGCCTACCTTCTTTCAATTTCTCAACCAATTTCTGAAACAGTGCAAGAAAAGGGAAGTGCACGAGTTGTGGCTTTCCAAACTTCCACAGAGGGAATAGTATCTAAGTATTGCCTCCAAGGCTCAGATTTTCTTTAGATTAAGTAGATGATGTTAAAGGAAACCACTCAGTGAACGGCACTATTATGAGGTACTCCTGGCTTCACGGTGCCCTTCCTTGCTTGTACACCATTATGTAGTTGAATGCCAGCTTAGCATGCCTCTAACAGCATCTATCTATCTGCTGAACAAGGCACGTGCAGGTTGCTTCAGGAGGATTAAAGCACAAAAACTGAGAGAGCGGGGAAAAATCTCTAATGTAAGGAAACATATTTTTCAGTTCCTGCTGTTCTTTGTTATTACTCTTTTCCCATGTATTCGCTTACCCTGCTGCCCTAACTTTGACGCTTTTAATTTATCTGTTAGCTGTGATTAAGATCATGCTACATTCATGAGGAATGACTCAGTTTGCCAGGAAGCTTTCCTGAGGTATTGCAGCTCTAGCAAGGGACCATGTTGTGCTGTAGTCAAATTTAAAATTTATTAAATACTCATTTAGAAAAACCTGCAAGTTTGATTCTTCTGGTATTTGTTATGTGTATATCCATTATATTTATGAGAAACATGATGCACAAAGTCTTGCAGCACAGTGCAGTAGGGCAAATTTGGTGAAGCTTCCTTTGTTATCATAAACACAAACTTGCATTTTTTTTGAAAAGCAAGCAATACATGTTTTACGAGGCAACTAAGTTTTCCAGAGTCAACATTAGGAAAAAAAGTAATGGCATATATATAAATATGTGTAGTGGGATCAACTTTAAAAGAGGCACAAACCATATATGAAGAGAAGTATTTAATTGTAGTACGCTTAATGTTCCTATGTGTTAAAAATTATCACACAAATACAGAGAAACCTCATTAATAGTACAGTTATGTAGTTGTATGAAGTCCTCACTACTCTATCCATTTTCCCCAGTGCTGTGCCCCCCTTTCTATGTTGCCCTGGGCCCTGTGGTTGACGATCTCAGCCTATTAGCAGCAGAGTAGAAATGGGGCTGTAACAGGTCATGGGCTTGCTGAGGTCTTCATCAGGAGTTATACAGCAAATAGTGTGGAGACACCCTTGCTCATAAGAACGTTTGGTTTCATTTTTATGCACTTCTCATTACAGTTTGTTATCTTCTTAATGATTTCCCACTCAAGTTTGGAGCTTCCATTCCAGCATCAAATAGAGTAAAAGTCTATTGCTTCTTATGCTGGGCCCAGCTAGGTTTGTCAGACTTGTGCCAAATACTATTTTTGTATTTGTAGAATTTGAGATAAAATAGGTTAGGTAACCATCACTCAACCCACTAGACAACTGCTAAAACATGTTAAATTCAGATGAGGCTGAAGCAATCTAGGAAAACTGCAGAGACCCTGCACTGTCAAATCAAAGCAAAACCAACCAACTTCTATTATTCATGGCAAAAATAAATGTTTGCTGGGTTGCACGGGAGGGAGCAGTGCTTTTAGAGTTAGCCATATACCATTATGCAGTGAGTGATTTATCACTTTGCATGGAGAATGTAGGATGTGAATAGAGCTACACCTGAACAGAATACTACAGATTTAAGTGTGATACCATGAACTGCAGTGCTTTAACACAATAGACACTTGAGATGTAATGTTTTCAGTGCCAGGAAATGCCTCCTGCTAACTTCAGTTGGAGCTGATGAACAAGAAGAAAAATAACGTGTGCTACTTATTATGTATATTTGAAATCTTTATGAGGTTATTTTCCAAACTTGATATTACAGCAGCATTTCTGAGAATCAAGCTTTATGCCTGCTCTGTAACACAATATAACCTAAATCAATATCCTAGTACTGACACTGCATTTTTTCACATTTTAAAAGCGGGACCATGCCTGACTCTTGCAGTTGTACTATGAGTGGGAAAGAAAGATAGTCTTATCACTCACACTGCTATGTAACAGTCAGGGGATTTGACCCTCTTTTGAACAAAGAATTTGCTGAGAACTCAGCTGAGACTGGGAATGTGGTCTGCCCCAGGTGGCTGTAAGTGGCCCTTTAGCTGGTGGGGAATGTCAGCATTATGGAACCCATGTGCTCTTTGCTCTTAATTATGGTCTGCTCTCAGCACCAGCACCTGCTGTTATTTTGCCATCTTACACTAAGATGCACTCTTTTGCTATTTTTTCTGACTTTCTGAGAATTGTCTTTTGATGTAATATACAAGATCTTGCTCCAGTATAGTCATAGAAGCATAGTTCTTGAGATTATGTCCTATTTGTTATCTATTTACATCCACTGATTATGTCCTCAGCAATCAGGTACAATGTTTATCTCGTCTGGGGTGTTTCAACTATTTACAAAACTATTGTTGAATTACAGCTGTCAAAACCAAGATCATCAGATCTTCTAGCAGGCCTCTTCAAGGTACACAAATGTATTCTTTTTGTCATCAAGGGCGTGCTTATGAGCTTGACTGCTAGATGTGTAGCTGATCCTCTGCTGAATTCAGAATGCAAATGCCCTCATTTACTTTTTGTTATGTTTACTATCTTTTAGAATGAGCATTAAATGAGTGTTCTTTATCTAAATGTATCATGTACTATTTATCAACCACCAAAAACTTCAGTGATTTTTTTTGGCTAGGTATTATATTGGATACTGAAAATGATTAAAGAGCTACTATTGATAGTGTTATGTATTTTTAAACATTAAGCAGATTCTGAATGAAAGCATATTATGTACACAAGGCAAATCAGGTGAGCGTGAAATCTAGAGTTGCCTTCAATGCTGCTGTAGCTCTGTGTGGCTTTGTCCTCCTCTCCCATAATTTCCCTGCTCTACAAAAAGATGAAATTTGCAGTATGCCCCATAGTGATCTGACTCATGGTTTCAGGAAAGGGTTTGAAAATAAATATTTCTATGATTTTAAGGAGTCTCTTTACAACTATGTAGGTAAATTACTGTGTTCACACTGGCCTCCAAACTGGCAACATAAGTGCATAACAGCAGCACAAATCATCTCCCCACATTGTGCTAATGGGTGTAGAGACTTAAAATTAAGCTAAATTCATTTCTTGGCTCTGTTGCCAAGAGGCACAAAAATGAAGTGGAAAATGTGGCAGTTAAATTAGGAAAGAATAGGAGATGGTGCTTTTATCTAATGGAAGGATGTAGCACTGCATGAAGAGGAAGAGTTTGACAATGGGTATGAAGAAAAAAAATAATGAGAGGAAATTATTAAGAAGAGAAATTTAGATTTAATATCAGGGAACTCATCCAGACAGTGAAATCTCTTACAACCTGGGATTGTCTCCCAAGGGAAGACGTTCAAACTTAATTGCTTTGGGCATTTTTAAACAAGTCTTGTCACATTGTGTGGAAGAAGCGTAGAGAACAATAACAAACTTGCAGAGGAGTACACTAGGTGATGTGCTAAGCTTTGCCACCTCTTATTTTTCTTGATTCTTTTGTGCCAGCATGAGTGACACCAATTATAGTGGCAATTTTTGCTGAGGGAAGACCTGTTTTCTAAGAGCTCAGCTGTATTATTGACTTGGTCTGAGCTGCAGACTTCAAGAATGGAAGTTCAGAATGAATAAACTAATGCTGTATTTGGGTGATATCTTGTATGTCAAAGCTTCTCTTAGGTGATCACATAAGTGGTCAGAGAGAAATGTTCATTAGACTGGGAAAATGGAAATTAATTGAACTGTGAGGACCCAGAGGTATGTGCTGCTTGCCTATAAGACGAGAGGTTGTTTCTGGGAGTCTGGGGGGGGAGGAGGGAAGGATGTTTCTGTGTGCCCTGAGGTTCAGGTAGAAGTCTGATCACGCACATTATTTTACAGCTTTCCCCTCACGGTAGGCAGCATCAGAGTGAGAAGGCAATAAATTACAGTCATTCCAGAAAAGATCACTTTTCCTCTCTGTGGAACTATTAACTGAAATTAATAAAGAAAAGTTTAAAGTTTAATTATGCCCTTCTCCTCCACCCAGCCACAAAGGCACTCAGGATACAAAGAGGCTGTAAACACAGAAGAAAGTAAGCTCTGAAAATGGCTTGTATTTTCATTAGTTGCCATGCGGATTTTGTATAGTCACGTTTAAATTCTGTTGACTGAAATACAATGTGAACTCATTTGTGTTAGTGTATGTCAGGTGCAGGCATATATGTGTGTCAGAACAGATATGAACAACATTGAAACTTCTTGATTTTTTTTTTTTTTTCCCCACAAGAAGTCCAAGAGCGCAGTCACCAGGCAGGAAAAGATTGCTTCTCCCAGGAAGCAAGTCCCCTGGGATTGCAGTAACCAGCAACCCTGTCCTTAGTGGATAAGTGGCTGGAGTTCAGCTGTTTTTAACGTTGTGTCTTTCTTCGTTTGAAAGTCTGATGTTTCTTCTATTTGCTTGCTAACAAAGTCTGTGAATATTTGATTTTAAAAAAAGTCCTGGGAAAAAGGAAAGGAAGTTGAGCTTATGTGCGAAAGATTGTGCTGTGCTGAGGGTGGGGTGACACTGTGCCTGCCCCATCTGCAGATATAAGAGGCAGAGAAAAACTTACTTGTGCTTGCTGTTCTGTTTTTGTGCTTGTGGCACTGTGCTTGTGCCTCTGCCCTTATTTCACCTTTACGTGTCTCTGCTTTGGGTCAGTGGTCCACAGGGCTCACTGGAGGAGCATTGCCTCCTCCTACCAGTTGTAGAAGGGACAGGCTGTTACTTATCCTTGTAGCCTGTGAGTTTGTACTTAAAGGCTATCCTTTAAGTAGAACTGAAAATACTTCAGTATTTCGTAATGCTGTAGATTTGCCCATCACCCGTTGCTCTGATAGCTGCCATCTGTTTAGTAGATTCATTTGTGGTCTGTGTTTCT